TAAAAAAAAAAAAAAAAAAAAAAGCTGAGAAGGAAGGGGGCTGGACCTGGTTACATGAAACCATATCTTCCCTATGAGTCACTTGCAATGCTGAGGTCTTTAAAAGGTAGCACACACTTCTGCTTGAGTTAACAGCTTAATGGAGTAGACTGTCATTCTCTATTTGGACTGCCCAGTAAAAGGATGACCCATACAGTTTGCCGTGGACTTCATAGGTCATGGATGGCAGAGGAATGTGCTTTTGCTCTTTAGTTCTCGTTCTCAAGGGACTTCCTACTTGGCCAGTAGATTTCTGTTAACAATGAAGATTTGTTATGGACTACTGTAAAATCCTGTTATAAAGTGTTAATTGGGATCACTGTTAAGACTTTGTCTGCAGATCACAGTTAGGAACCACTCTTTTAATCTGTATCTGCCAGTCCTGACAGCTGAGGTTTTCTTTTCACGTAGCCTGGAGCTCATGGGTAGAACAGGGAAGCTCTAACCACCATCAGAGCAACTTCAAGGAAAGCCCTGATCTCATGGCTGGTTTATGCATAGTCTGAACTGTAGTGAGAATCCAGATATTCAACTGGCTTTGACCTAGTGAGAGTTGTTACTACTCAGAAGTCAGTAATGTCCTCAGATTCTGTCTGTAGTAGCATATAAGCCCTTTTCCCAGAAACTGGTGAGCTATGATAGTGCTTAACAGTTGTTAAACAAAAGTGGTAAGTAGGTTGACACTGGCACAAGCCATAATATTAACAGCTCTGACATGGAGGTGAAGGAAAAGACAGCAGAAACTTCCAAGGACTTAGACTAATAATGTCTGACACTATTTGATTTTTTTTTCTTTGAATAGGTTGAGTACATCATACGGTCGCTGAACAGAGGAGAACTTGCCTTCAAGCTAGCAAGATTATTTTGTTGAGTGCCTCCTTGGTTCTGATTAAGTCTGATCTGTGACCTATGTAAGTTCCTAATCTATGCAGCTATTAGTGATCACTGTAGGAATTGTATAATTGTAAATTATGACTGCTACATTGTGGTAATATAATTTCTATATGAATTTAAGTGAAGTAGTGAATGTAAACTGAATGAATTAAATGAAGTAATGGATTTTTTTTTCTATCAACAGTTTGTACTTAAATCCTTTTACATAAACCTGAAATCTCAGAAATCATGAGTAACTTCAGCAATGAAGAATTTGAATTCACCTTCCTTGACGAAGGCTTTACTGCCAAGGATATCCTTGACCAAAAAATAAATGAAGTGTCATCTTCTGTAAGTATGATAGGAAAATCACTGCATTTCGTGATGCTGCAAGTTTATAAACTAATGGAACAAGTTGTCTTTGCAAATCTCCTGCAAGGCAACCTCCTCCTCAAATGCTGACCTCTAGGCTTATCATGTTATCTGTTGTTTGTAACTCTAAGATGTGTATTTGCTCTAGGATGATAAAGATGCCTTCTATGTTGCTGACCTCGGGGATATTGTGAAGAAGCACATGCGATGGCATAAAGCCCTTCCTCGGGTAACCCCCTTCTATGCTGTAAAATGTAACGACAGCAAAGCTGTAGTGAAGACACTTGCTGTTCTTGGTGCAGGATTTGACTGCGCCAGTAAGGTAAGATCTTGATTGTGTTCTGCTCTGTGACATTAGTGTATGTTCAGCTTTACAAGATGTGTTCATATAAAATTAAGCATAACCAAGCGGTGTTGCTTTTGTTGTACTGATTAATTTGATCATCCATCTAGAATTATCTTTCACAAGTGTAATCTGTTCTTTCTTCAGACGGAAATACAGCTGGTACAGAGCATTGGTGTACCTCCTGAGCGAATAATATATGCAAATCCCTGCAAACAAGTATCTCAAATCAAACATGCTGCCAGCAGCGGTGTACAGATGATGACATTTGATAGTGAAGTAGAACTAATGAAAGTTGCAAGGGCCCATCCAAAAGCCAAGTAAGTTATGCTAATTGTTCTATAATTCTTGCTTGGGTTCCCAGGTTACGGAAACATCTGCTGTTATCTGAAACTTGTTCTTCATTACTTAAGATAGGCTGCAAAATTATGAGAAAATAAACCTACTTTCAGCCAGTGAAATCTAATCCTGTATAGCTTACTGGCACATTAGGAAGACACAGACCGGAAAGCTTGTATGTTTAAGCTTAGTCTCATTCTAAGGTCATACCTGCCTGATAATGATGTCTTTTTATACTGGAACTTAAGCCCTCATTTTTTCCTATTTCTAGGTTAGTCTTGCGCATTACAACTGATGACTCCAAAGCAGTTTGTCGTCTGAGTGTTAAATTTGGAGCTACGCTTAAGGCTAGCAGGCTTCTTCTGGAGCGTGCAAAAGAACTTGACCTTGTGATCATTGGAGTTAGGTGAGTTGATGATATCAAAATACAGTCATATTAAATAAGATTTCTTTAAATGGTCTACCTGACAATAGAGATGCCTTTGCATATGGTGACTTGAGTTTTATATAAACTTTTTGACTAATTTGCCAAATAGCAACTGATATTTTGTATCTCTTTGCAGTTTCCATGTTGGAAGTGGATGTACAGACCCAGAGACCTTTGTTCAAGCCATTTCTGATGCCCGCTGTGTGTTTGATATGGGAGTAAGTCTAGTTCTACTTTCTCTGGAACTACTGTTCAACTGTTGTGGCAAAACTGAATCAAGTGTAAAACTGTTACGGGGTTAAAAGCTAGCTAAGTTGCTAATTTCTTGTTGTTGGAATTTTTGAGGTCATAATGGCTTACTTTGACCAGTTCTGCAAAACTTATCTACAGATGTGCTAAAATCAGCAGCTCAGGCTAAGTGACTATTACTTGAACACGATGAGTTAGCTGTGTTCCAAGTATTAATGAAATGGCTTTACATTACCTTTTTAAGCTAAATTGATAAACTAAGAACTGCTTTCTTGACAGTGTTGCCGTTAATCTCATTTTAGGCTGAACTTGGCTTCAATATGTATCTGCTTGATATTGGTGGTGGCTTCCCTGGCTCTGAAGATGTCAAGCTTAAATTTGAAGAGGTATAGCTTTGCTAAGAACTTCTCAGGTTGTGGAGTCTTTTTGAATGTTGATCTGGATTAAACAAAATCTTGGTTTTTCTATTTGTATGCAGACACATTTGCAAGAAAACTTGTCTGCTTGGTCAGAAATTTAATTTAGAGGAAAAGGGGAATTAATCTGAAAACTGAAAATTAGATGAACCCATTAGATACAGAGCTAAATGACTGCATAAACATGCAGAGATATCAAACTTGTAAAGCAGGTTTTAATTGCAGGCTTGATTCTTACTGGCATAGACTTCTTCCAGTTGATGCTGTACTATCTAGATTGGCAGTGCTCCCAAATAGGGTGAAAAGGTAGTCCTGAACCCATACTGTCCTTCTGGGTGGCAGCAAACTAGGTCAGTGTCTGATGTGGTTTAGAACTAGCTTTTGGATCATTTTTTAATTGATCAGTGTTTTCCAGTCTGCTTTCACACAGAAATAATTCTGCTTTCAGAAGAGACAAGGTGGCTGGGTATTAATAGGACTTCCACTTAGAGCAGTGTTGTCAGAGCACCTGCCAGTCCAATCTAACGTAGTGTTAAATGATGTTACATATTTACACAAGGAGACAGCAAATAAGTTACATAAAGTAAGTTTTCTGCTAATAATGTGGGCTAATGTCTCACTTGTAATACCTCTTAATGAAGGCTGGCTTCTCATAGTGCAGTATTGTCTTACATGAAGCATCAAGAGCAAATGATGATGTCATTGGGCTCCATGGCATAACACAGTCGTACTGTAGTTGGAGGCAGCTTAATAATCACTGATAACTTCAGAACTTAGAAATAACTGTTCATGAAGGCAACTAACTGAATTTCAAAGATGATGACAAAGCCTTATGTATTCTTAAGATCCTGTGAGATGACTTCTTCAGGATGCAGTAAGCTGGGGGATATTGCATGATTAGCAGAACTACAAGTGGACTAGAAATTAAAGTTGAAGTGTGGGGACTTGCAGGGCATTAATGCTGGTTTAATGAGTCTAGGAGGGGTGATTTCCTTTAGACTCAAACATGAGCTGTTTGGTCACTTAAATTTTTAAGCTGCAAGTGATGTCTGCTTTTGTTGCTTTGTGCAAACTTAATTGCAAACAAAACTTTGGGAAAATAAAACAAAAGCAACCAATAGAGATTACAATATGCTAATATAATAATTGTATAATAATATAAAATAGAATAATATTTCATGCTCACATCATTGTGAGCATGAAAGTCTGACCTCATCTCAGACTTCTAAAATAGCACCTGAGTAACTGCTGAAGTTCTAATATTGGCAACTGATTCTTCCCTAGATCACAAGTGTAATCAACCCAGCACTGGATAAATACTTTCCTTTGGATTCTGGAATAAATATTATTGCAGAGCCAGGAAGATACTATGTTGCATCAGCATTCACGCTGGCGGTCACCATCATTGCAAAAAAAATTGTATTAAAAGAGCAAACAGGTTCTGATGGTATGTAAATCTAGGCCTAATCTTAACTTCTAGTCGACTGTGTTTTTCTTTCCAAGCATTCTCTTACTGGTATCTCAACTTCTTCCAGATGAAGATGATGCAAATGACAAAACTCTTATGTATTATGTGAATGATGGAGTCTATGGATCATTCAACTGCATCTTGTATGATTGTATTAAAAGAGCAAACAGGTTCTGATGGTATGTAAATCTAGGCCTAATCTTAACTTCTAGTCGACTGTGTTTTTCTTTCCAAGCATTCTCTTACTGGTATCTCAACTTCTTCCAGATGAAGATGATGCAAATGACAAAACTCTTATGTATTATGTGAATGATGGAGTCTATGGATCATTCAACTGCATCTTGTATGATCACGCACATGTTAAACCAGTTCTGCAAAAGGTTTGCTCATTCAAAAGTATCACATACTAGTCATATATCACGGATGTAGGAGAATCTTTGTCACAGCAGTCACTTCTCAGTTCACTGCTCCCTTCATGTTGCCAGAATTTGGCATTTGACTTATGAAGCATGAAGTGGAATTAATTAAAAGCCAAGGGTGGAGAAGGATCTGCAAGCAGCTCTTCTTCCTCCTCTTTGCGAGGCGGAATGTTATACTAATTGTGATACTACTTCTGGAAGCTGTTTTGATAGTCAAACTAATTATACTCAACTCTTTTCTTTAGCGGCCTAAACCAGATGACAGCTGCTATTCCTGCAGCATATGGGGACCAACATGTGATGGTCTAGATCGAATTGTTGAGCGTTTTAATATGCCAGAGTTGCAAGTTGGTGACTGGATCCTGTTTGAAAACATGGGTGCCTATACTGTTGCAGCAGCTTCTACTTTCAATGGATTCCAGAGGCCAACAATACACTATGTGATGTCAAGACCAGCATGGTTAGTAATTAAGTATCTTGAGCCATCAGTGCTTTTGATACAGATGACTGTAGTGAATTGCTCGTTAGTTGGCTGCCCCTTAACAAACAGGGCCATAGTTTTGGTGCCATAGCTCTTGTAAAACCTCCTTGTGGTGTGGAAGAAGGCAATGCCTCTGAAAGCTTTTGCTGTGTGCTTAGAACAATGCTAACACTACCAAATACTCTTTTCTTTGATGTACTCGCTTCCAGGAGAGGTGATTTTAAAGGGGTAATGTTAGGAGTGTTTTCATTAACCTGGGCTTCTACCTGGTGTTTTTCACTCTTGCACAACATATAGAATCATTACAGATTCTTTACAGTTAGATTCTGTGACCAGTAATTAGAGACCAGTCAATCACAGTTCTAATAGTACACTGTCTTCTAAATTGATTGCTTGCTGTAAATCCTAACTGCAGGATGCAGGAACACTCAACAGTGCTGCTTCACAATATGATCTGTCTATTTATTTGAGAGCTGTTCCTCAGTTTAGATTGAGTTCTGGCTCATTGCTCAGTGCAGAGTGCTAGATCTCCATGGGAAGTTATTAAACAGGTAGGCAAAGAAAGCAGGACCACCTCGTGAGTGCAAGAGTAGTTACTGCAAACAGTAGTTTAAAGTAACAGCAAGACAGGTTAACGGATTGCATCTTCTATAAAAGTGGGGTTTCCTGTAAGAGGAAGCCCTTACTTCTGTATTGAATTCTGCCTACTAAACTGGCAGAAAGCATTTGGGCAGCAGTATTACCCTAAAGCACGGTTAACTTGGCTGTTGCGTTGCTTTCACGTTTACTGAAAATGCTTAAGTTCAGAGGAATTCCTGCCATAAAAGTAAGAGGAAGCTTCCTCCATTCTTTTACTAGCCTTGCCTCTGTAAGCAAGGCTTGTATTGTTTCTTCCCTTTATTGAAACCTCCTGTCAACTGAAGTGTTCCTCAAACCAAATGAAGCTTTTACACTTCCCATAAGACTCCAAACTTGTGTCTAATTGAACTAAAAATGGCTCTGCAGGAGAATAACTAGCTTTTTCACTATAGCACTGGGTTTCTGTTAAAATGTGATACTTGGTCTGAGGCATGCTGAGCTTAATTATGCAGACATAGTTATCATCCAAGGCTACAGCCCTCTTTCAGCCCTTCATGACCACCTGTGTTTTCTGCTTTGGCAAGAAAATTCTGTGATACAAGCTAGCCCTTAACTGAGGGGGATGTATCAACGCAGTTATGGTGCAGATCTTTCTAGCACAGGCAAAAGCTTTTTGGAATGTAATCTACATGTATAAAGGTGTACAGCTAAATTTGTGGCTAGATAACTGTGAAAGATAAGGGACAAGATGACTATGTATGTCTAAGTAAAAGCTAGTAGTATATGGGGAGCCATGTAGTAGCACAACTTCTTGCCTTGCATGTAGTATAAGATAACTAAGTCCAAAAACTCAGTCAACTGAAGTTCTTCTGAGCTTGTCTTTCAGTACAACCGCTATCTGAGTATGGAATGAGTTGCATGGTTCTCACTGGTCAGTTCCTTTACATTCCTAGTCTGTCATCCATACTTCTACTTGATTCAAGTTACCCAGGAATGTGAGAGTGTGGGGTAGTCAGTGACATAGGTCTGAAATTCTGAATTATTGAGCGCTGAGTCATTAAATCTGTATAGCATGTGGTATACAGATGTAGCTACAGGTATATAGGTGCATATTTACAGATCTAGATCCTACCCAGAAATGGTGAAACCAGCTTGGTATTGGCACTTGCCCTAAAGCCTAGCCAGCCACAAGTGACCTGCATAGACTCTGCTTTGACTTCTGCCCCCTCCTTGCCTGTGCCTGATAATACTGTCTGGATTGCAGGTGATGAGTAAAAAGTTCACTTCATGCTCCCTGGCAGTAAAAAAAAGTTTTTTGCTTACCTTCTTTTTGGCACAACATAGCAAAACACTTTGACTGTTGCTTTCCTCTGTTTTTTCTTTCTAGGCAACTAATGCAGCAGATCAAGGAGCAAGGGTTCCTAGCTGAAGTGGAAGAGCAGGATGTTGCTAGTCTGCCACTCTCTTGTGCCTGGGAAAGCGGAATTGAATATCCAGCAACTTGTGCTTCAGCTAGTATTAATGTATAGGTAATACTTAGTAATTAACTGCAAGATTAGTCATTGAATTTAGGGCATTTGGGGGACCATTAACTTAATTCTTGCTAGAATTTTTAAGTGTGTTTTTTTTAAAGTTTAGGTTTGGCATAAATGCAACAAAAATGACTAGGAGATGGGTCACAATTATCTGTGTTCCTATGGAAACTATTTGAATATTGTTTTATATGGATTTTTATTCACTTTTCATGTATGCTACTAAAGACTGACCCTCAACTGTCAAACAAGTATTTGTAGCTTGTGTATGGCAGAACGGGCTAAGCTTAGTGTTCTGTGACCTACTTGTTTTAAAATAAAGTATATTGAAATAACTGGTCCTGTGTTTGGTTAATCTGTAGAAAATTAATCTGTCATGGATGGCTCTTATAGCATATATGAAGGCAGACCAGATGCTGCAAGCCCAGAGCTTATTAATGAGTAACACAATTGCCATCTCCTCTCCTACCCTTGCCCTCCCAACTTACTGAAGTGAAGGAACCCCTTAATGGGTAGGGAAACTAAATTGTGCCTTTTTTAATATGGGATTAGAAAAAGCTTGACTGTCAACAAGTTGAATACTGAGTGAATTCTTGTGGAATCATATTTGTCTTTCACTATTGAACATGAGCTAAACACAGTTGCATATTGCAAGTTCAATGCAGTGCCATTTTTATTCGTGTTAGTCTATAACTGCTGTGGCCAGGACTGATGGCTATTTAAACACATCTAGTCATTAATGAGAGAATACAGCACAGACTCCATGGTTGCCACTGACAAGCCGCTTGTTATGTGTGCAAGGATTAAAATATGTCATGGGAAGACTTAAGAAGCCGAAACTATGTGGCTGATTAGTAGGTGACGACTACTCTCTGACCCTTGTTGGCTAGGGCTTTAGTATAACATGGATGATAAGAGATGGGACTAGACATCCTTTGTGCATGCAATACAATTAGAAGCTCTTATTTAATGTCATGAAAATACATGCTACCCTGTTAAACTTCTGAGTTTGGATTAAATGTGATAGATGGCACTAAGTAGTAAAGAGTAGGAGCTAACACAGGGTGTGTTGATGATAAAATTGGTGAGTCTGCCTACTGGAGTAGAGTATTCTGACTTCTATTTAACTTGATGCTAGTTTGCTGCCACTTATTACACTAAAATTGCAAAATGTTTGACAAACTAATCGGTCCCAGATCTGGATCAGTTCTGTTTGCCAGAAGGTCCTGGACTGCAGGCATCCCTTAGCAAATGCCTGATGTGTAAAGAGGAAGGTAAATGTATTGAGTAAGTAGGTAAAGCTTAAGCTAACTTAGAGTAAGTGTGAAAATTTAAAGCATCATCCAAAGGATAGCATTGCTGGTAGAAATGGTGGCTCTAGCAAGGTGAGAAATAAAGCTGTTTGTCTTTCGCAGCTGCTTGTAAGAAATGTTTAACCTCTATTTTGTGCTTTCAGCTGAGACTACACTCTTCACTAGCTGAACTAGTAGGGTAAACAAGAAGCAATGGTACCTCATTCCCGATTCTCTTGAAGCATCCTAAGTGACTTTTATTTACTTGCTTCACTCCTAGCTTCAAGCTTTGCAATTGAAATAGCACTTGCCTTTATTCTCATGCATACAGTAGTCAGCCATTTGGCTACTCAATGGCACTTGTGCAAACTTCAGTATGCATGCATAGTGATAGCGATAGCCTTAATCTCAAAGAAACTCCCTGCATCCAAACCAGGGTTTCTTTTAGCTTCTCCAAATTTGTGTGGAAACTTAATGATTCTTAGCATGAAAGCAAAAGTAATGAATGGTAACCAATTGTTAATACTATAACAGTTTCACATCTAAACCTTGCCCTGTGAGGGCTAAGTGCATTTGAATTGTGGAAAAAACCTAACAGGTATGCAGAAAAAGTCCTCTTGGAAAGCCTGCAGTTGTCTAAAGGAGATGTAGCTACTTTCTAAACCTGCCTGCTTGAAGGCTGGGGCTGGTTGAGCCAGAAGGGGAGTATGGCTGTAGTGAGACCTTATGGGATATCTGCATTAGTAACTAGTGCCCTGGTGGGCAAGAGGAACAGTCTGGCTTCCTTTGCTTGCAGCCAGTAGAGACATCTCCAGCAGGTAATTCAAAGGCAATCACTTGTGGAAGCTAATTAGTAAGCTTCCCTGAGAGCAGTTTGGCAGGCTGCCAATTAGTTTCTTGATCTGCATTTAACTTGATTGGTTGTTTTAGCTATTTCATTGGGTTTTGTCTCAAAAAAAAAAAAATTACATCTGTTTCTCTGCTGTTGGCCAGGACAGTGGCAACACGCTAATAAGCATTTTGATTAACTTATGATGCTCCCCAAAAGAGATGTAGCTGACATCAGTTCTTTACCTTCCTCTTCCATGGCAGGTATGTCATAGCCTCAGCTGGTGCTCTATAAGCCATGTCTAAGGAGAGTATCAAGTGCTTAAAAAGAACTGTTAATCTTCTTGAGCATCATCTGTGTTTAAAAAAAAAAACAACAAACCCAAAAAAACAACCAATGGGTTTTGTTAGCTGACTTTTAGGACTTGGGGGAGTAATAAATCTTCACAGTAATGGTGGTGTGTTTTTAAGCAAGACACAGGTTTCTCATTTCAAGTTGGATTATGCTGAGCACATGTTCTGGGCTTTGGGATACTGAGTATATATCCTTCATCTCACAGCTGCCCTTGCTCCTGCCTTCCATAGAATCTTAGTGGTCCATTTCCACTTTTTTAATTTGATTTTTAAAATACCCCAAGTGACAGGAATCGGTCATATGGTGACTGTGGGGATTCCCTACAATCCAAACTAGGGAAATAAGTTTCCTAGTGTAAGCTGGAGCACCATGTGGGACAGCAAAGATGTAACAAAGCAAGCAGTGAACTATGGTTTAGTTTGACCTCCCTTCCCCAAGTCTTGGGCCATCAAAGCCTTTGCTCTGTTTTGCCATGTTCATTGATCAAATCCAGTTGTTCTAACTGCACATCTTAATTATTCCTCCCTGGTGCAAGCTTGTCTGATATGGGAGGGAGGGAGGAGCTGCATGCCAGAAAAATTGAGATCAGCTGCATCTGTTTTATATAATTAGCTCAACAAATACCAAAGCTGGAGCCAAGATTAGCCTGTGCCTTTCAGCTTGCTTCTTGCTAACCGTGCTCTGTGTGGTGCTGTGTCTGTCTCACTGTGGACTTTGCTGGCCCATTTGCAGGACTGTGGCGTTCCTGCTCCTAATGTCCATGGCAGTCGCTCCCCTCGCTGGCACCAGTGATGGTGGTGTGGGTTCTCTTGGGATCACTCTCAAAAAAGAGAGTAATATCTGAGGCAAATACCAAGACATCTCCCTGAGATGAGGGCATGGCTCCTCATCACCCCATTCCTCTTTCTTGAGTGGTGAAGCCACTTGAGATCTGAAACAAGTCTAGCTGAGGCCTTCCATAAGTCCACCTATGGCTATACATGGCCTGTACTGGAGTTCAGCTGACATCCTCTGGTGCAAATGTAGTTTCAGGTACCAAAAAAAAGTTGAGAAACACTGGTCCTCTGAAACTACATCAGATGGAAAGTCAAAGGTGGGAATGTTTTAAGGAGAGAGTGGAGAATAGTGAAATAGAGGGAGCAGACTGAGAGGAAGTAAGGGACAAGGGGGGAAGTTGCTGATGGCAGAGCATACCGCAGGGCAGATTTCCCTTGTGTTACTGTATGAGCATTTAACTCACAATTTAATTTTTAAGCTGCTAACTTGTAGGCTACAACACAGGCCTTGCAGACAGACAGCGTCAATGCATGAATCCCCTTGGAAGAGGCAAGTCTGCTGCTTCAGTTGCACCAGCAGACTGACCCGGAGCTGGGAGCAGCGCTGAGCAGGGACCCCACAGCTCCACCTGCCAGAGCAAGGCTTTGTCCGGGAACAAACCCGGAGCTGGAGGGAGAGCTTTTCTCCTCTCACAGACCTCAGCCCCAGCAAGTACTATCATTGAAACGGATCTTTTATAGCTAAACACAGCACCAATTTGCAGTAAGACCGAAATGGAAAGCTTTCCAGATCAAAACCAACCCTGTTCCACAAAAAAAAAAAATCATTATCCGCAAGTATTACAAGAAGAGCTTAGATGAATATTTGATTGTCAAAAAGTAAAAGTTCATCAATCGTTGCAATAATAATTATTATTTTTAATTGTCTCTTGGAAAAAGCACCAATCAGTACCAAAAGAAGTGGGAGTAATTTGCTTTAGAGAAGTGTCCCTGGTTTTAACATGCATCACCTGGTTTTCTTTACAGTTTGAAGGCAGTAGGTGTATCAGTGGCTATGGTCTGGTTTCAGCACCCCCGTCACAAATGCCTCCAATTCAAATTCGTCTTTAGCTAGTTAAAACACTGCATTGACTATCCTGAAAATACATTGAGAACAGGGAGCATATGTGGGGCTGGGACTTATATTTTGGCAAGCTTTGCTATTGCTCTTCAGTTGGTTTTGTAGTCCTCTGCATACAGGAGGTGTTTAGAGCAGCTAAACCACAGCGGTGCCACTTTTGGAAAGCTGGCTGTGAGCGCTCAGAGTGGTACAGCCAACAAGACGTGGCCCTTTGCGGTGTGAGTCTGAGGACTAATGCAAAAGGTGAGCGCTCTGGGCATGAACACTCATGGCCCCTTGAATCCCCTCCGTTTCAGTAAGGAGAGGCCACCCGCATTACAGGCAAATTCTTGAGCGCTGGCAAACAAAGGGAGCTCCCTCAGGGAGCACACTGCAGTCTTGCATATGTCCACGTTGTCTTGCAAATATCACTACAGTCCAACTAATATTAGACCCTTATTTGCAAGTGTTTCTTGATGCTTATACTACAGCAATAATTTTCCTCAGTCTGTTAGTCTTTGCCTAAAGACAAAAGCATTAGCACACTGAAACCAACCCTCCCTTTTCGTCTCCCTCATTTTAGGGAGCTGGTCCCAGCCTTGCCCACAGTATTCCCACAAAAAAAAAAAAAAGCCTTCCAGTTATATTCTCTTCAATTCACGCTCACAGAGTGCTTTGCAAAGTATTTACTGGCTCATCCTGCCTTTGTGGTTCAGAGCCAACTGCCATGTTCCAGTCCAGAAAGTGGGCAAGAGACAGCGAGGCTGCACAGCAATTCAGGGAAGGAGGCAAAGGCAGAGACACTTCCAGTCCAGCGATGCAGAGAGAGTGGTGCTTCCCACTGGACTGCTACCAACACCTTAACCATCGCTGGGGAAGGGCAGGGTCAGTCTAGGTACCTCGATAACACAGCAAGCGCCGCGTACAAGCTGACAAAGGGCACCTGTAGCAGCTCAGTACAAGGATTCCCAAAGTACTTCGTAAT